CTGTATTGAAGAGTAAATGGGACAGAAAAACAATGTCACAGAATTTGTTCTCCTGGGACTTACTCAGGATCCTGCTTGGCAAAAGGCATTATTTGTTATGTTTTTACTCATCTACGTTGTAACCATGGTTGGGAACTTGCTAATTGTGGAGACAGTTATTGCCAGCCCCTCATTGAACTCTCCAATGTACTTCTTCCTTGCCTATTTGTCACTCATGGATGCTGTTTATTCCACTTCCATGTCACCCAAGTTGATTATGGACTTACTCCGTGATAAAAAGACCATTTCCTTCACAGCTTGTATGGGACAGCTCTTTATAGAACACTTATTTGGTGGTGCTGAAGTCTTCCTTCTGGTTGTGATGGCTTATGATCGCTATGTGGCCATCTGTAAACCACTGCACTATTTGACCATCATGAATCGACGCGTTTGTGTCCTTCTGTTGGTTATGGCCTGGATTGGAGGGTTTGTGCACTCTGTGGTTCAATTTGTTTTTGTGTCTAATCTCCTTTTCTGTGGCCCCAATGTCATTGACCACTTTATCTGTGACATGTACCCATTATTGGGACTTGCATGCAGTGACACTTACTTTATTGGTCTCACTGTGGCTGCCAATGGTGGAGCAATCTGAATGATCATTTTTACCCTTCTCCTAGTTTCCTATGGATTCATCCTAAATTCCCTTAAGACCTACAGTCAGGAAGGGAGGCGTAAAGCCCTGTCCACCTGCAGCTGCCACATCACTGTGGTTGTCCTTTTTTTTGTTCCCTGTATTTTCATTTATGTTAGACCTGTCTCCAATTTTCCTATTGATAAGTCCATAAGTGTGGTTTTTACTGTTATCACTCCAATGTTGAATCCTTTAATATACACCTTGAGGAATTTGGAGATGAAAAATGCCATGAAAAAACTCTGGTGTAAAAAGTAAACTACAGGTGGAACAAGCATGCATTTCCTACACTGAGCATATTTTCTACTAATTTTCATTAAATATTTTATTTAATATTCACACGTACATTTAATGTGTTTTGATCCAATCATAATACTGCCTCTCCAGTTCCCTCTGTTTCTACCCCAATTTGCCTCAAAACCTCATGTGATTTGCTCTATTATTTATTTTTAATTTAATGTTCACTGAGTGCATTTACTGGTGTCTGTATATTCACAGGT